GAGTGGGTACAGACATGGTTACCATGGAGCAGCTGAAACATAGTAAAGCCCTGCTCCTGTTTAACTTGCCGTAATTTTGCATCTGTTTAATATCATGCCTTTCAGATATAAAATTGCACGTTACATGTAGATACTCGTATATCAGTTTAAGAGTAGTTTGTGCTGGGTAGGCTTGAGGAGCATCCATATGGTTGCATTGGCTTTTAAATGAGTTTAAAGAATAAGTTCAATTTCTGGGTATAGATAAACCCTAAATGTGAGATATAGGCATACTCAGAAAGCACCCATATTTTGAAAGTTAACTCCCTGTGACTACCAGCAATAAATGCTTTGAAGTCACTCTTGTCTGAATATTAGAACTTTTAATTATTTTATTATTGTATTTTAAAGTATATTTATTAGATCATAACTATTCTAAAGCATGCATGCATTTTTGTTGGGTGTGATCAAAACTCTAGATATATCAGTGCCCTTTCTTTTTAAAAAATGTGTATAGTTACCCTTTAAATGAGCAGTAGATCAAGTAGGTAATAAACAAATAGACAAAAAGTAATGTTGTGTGCTATCATTTGTCTAGTAGCATAAGGCCTTTATTGGGTTCTTTTTTCTTGTCTAATCCATTGCTTAATGCTTGCAACGAACAATTTCTAATCACTAAAAAGACTTCTGAGAAACTAATGTGATGGACAGAAGTAGCAAGTGGAGCAAATATCAAATGTTTCTCAAATAAGTTTCAGGAAAACAAAAATATATACAGCACAGGGTTTTCCTGAATGCCTTTTGCAAAATCACTCAGCGGTGTTTTCTTGATGACCAACAAGCCCAGGTTTGTAATGATGTCTTTCTGTCAGCATGCACATTTAAATGTTTTTTCTTTCTCCTGTTTTCTGTCTGCAGGTAAAAGCATCTTGACAACCAATCAAGAAAGTGGATTATTTTTTAAACTATGTGTGTGCGTCTGTAGAAATGATTTGTGGTTCAGTCCAGCTGGAGCTGACTGAATGAAGCTATGGGCTGTGCATCAGCCAAGCATGTTTCTACTGTTCAAAATGAAGAGGAAGCTCAGAAGGGGAAGAACTACCAGAATGGAGATGTGTTCGGTGGTGAGTGTTGCAGGATCTTCCTGGCTTGCACACCATCAGTGTTGTTGAAATTTTAATTAGCAGTTTTATTCTTGTCATAAGCTTAGGGAAAAATAAAGAAAGTGAAATCATGATGACCTACATGGAGTAGAACCAACTAAGAGACAAGTTTTGACACAGTTGAAATTCTTTTGTAAGTTTTATGAGAATTTTTACCCTGGCACCAGCATGTGCTATGATGGTCTTCAATTGCACACAATGTAGGGGAGTTCAGATACAAATATTTACTCGTAATAGAGGAAATCTGGGAATTCTATCTCAGAATGTAATTGACAGATTTGCTAACAAACTCCTGCTCCGTAGACAAAATATTGCCCCATCCTCCCTGAGCATTCTGGAAGACCAGTAAAATGTCAAACCAAAGCCATCTAGAGAACATGATTTTGAAGATGTAATAAAACTGGAAGTGGCAACATTCAGTGACCTTCTCTGAAGATTGGGGTGAAAATGGCAGATTTTGTAGGTCGTATGTAAGCACCTGTTTGGGTGGGTGAGAAATTGTTTACAAGTCAGAATTCTGTCAGAGTAACGCCACATTACAAGAAAAAAACGATATCATACTTAACTGACCAGTATGGTCAGTTTTTTTCTAACTTTATATAAACTGTTATGTAAATGGATTAGAGGCTTCCAGACCTGTCCAAATATAGTATTTCCTCCATAAAAAAAAGTCATGTGTTGGCAACCTATGACCTGTGGGCTGGATGCAGCCTGGAAAGCCATTTGATCTGGCCCACTGATAAGAGGCTGTGGTGACATGCAGTAGTGTTTTTTTGGCAGAAGTTGCTTTCCCATGCTGCTGCAGGGAGATTTGACAGAGGCTTCCTCTGACCCAAACTGGATCACTTTGTTCCTCAGTGTAAACATGCTGTCGACAGCTGAACAAGGTAGTTTGGTATTGCATTACAAGCTGCTTGGCTCTGATATCCTTAAAATAGATAGATGCACTACTATTTAGAATGCCAAGCTTCTCTTCTCTTGTGGTTATAGCAATTATTTATGCAGAATTAAGAATGTCACATTGCAGTGGTAAAACTATCATGCTGTTAAAGAAAGTGGGAGGAGCTTGACTTCTTCAGGCTGTCTGATGAGGCTAGGTTTATTTCTAGCTGCAGACTTTAAGTAAGATTATACAGATTAAATATATAATCTTAGCAGAATTTCTTCCAAAAGTCAGACCTTCATGTTGGGGATTTTTCCACTCATGCTGTACTTCACTATCCTGTAACATTTAACATGTCTGGCATTCTGACTTCAGTATTTGAATTTTTACATGCAGCCAGCTCACATTTGCAGAGCAAACTTATTAAGAGCAATAATTGCTTACCAGCAGTGTTTCTCTCGGGAACATTTTCCATGCCACACATGGGCTACTGGTGCCTCCCAAGTCTTTCACCAGCACTTCCGCTGACACTTCTGGTTTCGTGGCTGGCATTTCCAGGGGGTGCACGGCCAAACTAAGGGGTGCATGTGGTGTCGCCGATGATGCCACATAGATTAAATCCTGTGTAATAGCTACAGCCACATTGGAGCACCATAGCAGCAGGACTCTGAAATGATGCTGCTAACTGGTCTTAGATAATCTTCTGGAGCTGAAGTTCTGCAATCTTGTCCTCCTTGAGCAAAGCACTTAGGTGCATATTTAGGTGACATGAAATTCACTTTCCCATAAAAACTGCTTAAATGCTTTGAATTAGGGCCAGAATGCATACAGAAACCCAGGCTATCCTCTCACTGCTAGAGGTGGGCCCTTCAGATGTGGTTACCTGGTCTTGCTGCCATCTGCACTGCACCTGTTCTCTGAATCAGTAGAATATTTTGATTTCCAGGATTGTGAGTGTGTTGCAGTTTATATCCATGACACTTAATTCCTGATCTATTTTCTTTATATATAATAATGTATAAAAATGTGAAAATTGTGCCTAAAGATGGCATTGATTTAAACTCGTCAACCGCCTAATGGAATTCCCTCAATTTCTAGAACTGTGTGTTGACAGTGAAACCCATGCTCTCATCCTCATCCTGACCTGTTGCCTCTTGATATGAATTGGGTCTGAAATTGCAAAAGTTTTTAATTTACTGCTAAACATTCATTTTGTTAATCTGTAACAGATTCCTGTATGACACGTGTAGAGTTATTTATTCAGCAAAGACTAAAAGGAAAGCATTCAGTTCTGTATCAAAGAGGTGTCACAACCAGTCTACCACAACAGCTAACAAGGCAAGATTTTACCACAGGATGTCAAGTATGACAATGAATCTTAGTAAAATGAGCCCCCGCATAGAGGGGGTCCATGCAACTACTCCAAGTGCTTCGTAGCACAGACAAGTGCTGTAGTACTTCCAGGGCTCACCGTTCGCTGCTAACTGCGCAAAATTTGTTCAATATTTTGGACAGCTGAAAGTAAGAAAAACAGCAAATGTATCTGGTCCAGCCAAAGGCAGAGGAGAGAGTATCTTTGCAGCCTCTTGGAAGCTGAACTTAATCTCAAAACAGATTACAGATTAAGGCAGTCCTTAATTTACAACGTTTCAAGTACAACGTTTCACACTTACAAAGTTTATAAATTTGTAAGTTTTACAGATGTCAAGTATCTGACATTTTCAACTTTCTGATGTCAGTTTTGACTTTACAATGTTTGATCCAACGCAACACCATGCCAGCAAACAAGTTCACTGTGTTGCCCATCTCTGGAGAACGTCTGTCCAAACTTCCTTGGACACTTTCTTTTAGAAAGTAGACGAGACTCCAGAAGAACCTGCAGCCAAGACTCCTGAGAAGACTCCAGCCAAGAACCCTTTAAAAAGTCCAGCAAAGTCACCTCAAAGAAGTCCTTCAAATCAATATGATTTACAATATAAATACATTAATGTAGCTATATTACTCATCTATAATTGATTGAGTACAAAATTCTGGGTTATTTTTGGTGAAAATAGGGTATTGGGCCTTGGTTGAGGAACCAATCCCTCATTTATAGCATTGTTTCCTATGGGAAAATCAGTTCCAAGTTACGTTTCGACTTAAGACGTGGTTTTCAGGAACCAATTGCGTCGTAAGTCCAAGGACTGACTATAGATTGGGCAAGCTGGGAGTGGCTGGAGAAGAGCATTTGGGATCTGTTTTGAAGTGGAGTGAGAATTTGAAAGAGGGATTGGGAGGCAGAGAGAGAAGGAAGAGGATGGGTTAATGAGGTGAAAGAGAAAAGAGACAAGGGAGAAGTCATTACGTTATGGTGGCAACATTGGCTATACCAAGACAAAGCAAAGCAATGCAGTGGAATATATTTGTTATTGCTCTTACCCAATTTTTGTATTTGTTACAGAGAAGATGAATTGATCACAAAACAATTTACTTGGATGTAGGAAGTTTGGGGTATTGTACTTGCAGGAAACCTACCCATACCTACCTTTTTTAATTCTATCTTTGAATTTGTCAGATCATGGAGATAAATGCTCTGGTTAGATTTATAAAAGGGCAGAACAATTTTATGAGTGCTAATAGAAATGTATCTATGCAAGATAAAATAATGTAATCAAATCTGTCTGCATAATCTATCTACTATATACAGCATTGCACAGTTACTTAGATGCATTATTGTTGTTTCACTTTCTTTCAAAGCCTCAGGATGTGGCTACTACCAGAGGCAGTATAGGAAACAGACAGACCAAGGCTCAGATCTGTTATATCATGTTATTCTTTTGCAATATCCCCTATCTGCTGTATATGTGATGGTATAAATTGAAGGGTAACAGGACACTATTAAGAACTGCATTCTTGCACAACCAGGTTACAGGCAGATTTTTTTTCCTTTGTTAAGGATTCCATGTGGCTTTTTTCACTTACCCATACCTCTAATGCTACATTTAGAGACATGCTGTATTTCTTGGTTCTTGGATGGCTCATGAATATTTCTCCCAGGACAGATGGTGTTTGAGTTTCACTCAACTGAATGTTCTAAGCTATTTTAGGACACATTTACCTGTTTAACAAGGGGAGGATCTGAATATTAGATGGCGATGTGAAGAGCTATGCAAGTTCTAAGTGCAAAGTTCCTTAGTTTTAAAAGGTCTGCTTTGTTAGGATCCTGAAAGCCAGCCTTCTTTCCAGTTACCTTCTGACTTCTGCTTACTGCCTTTCTCAGAGACATGACGTGAAAGGAGATTGGTCCTGGGGTCTATGCTTAATTTCTATTTCTGCATCTCTCTTGCATGCTTATTGTCTAAGGTGGAAAGCCTGTAGAAGCCTAGATAATATTAAGATGGATGGTGCTCTCCTTCTCTTGAGGTTAAGTTCGATTTGTAGGCATGTGGTATATAATACTTTGCCCCTCATTGCTAATCTGAAAACTCAGATATAGATTTTTCACTCCCTTCCTTCCCAATGCTGTGGAGTCCCTGACTGTGGCCTGTTAGTAAGGAGCAGAAAAATTCAGCTATAACTTGGAAGATACAACCCCATTATCTCTTGCCTATCTTGCCTATTATAAAGATCGTGATGCGAAAGCAGTGAAGTCTTTTACGTCGTTGTGGCAGTTGAGCCTTATTCTGTAGCAGTTTGTTTGGCTTTTTGTCTTGGATTTTTAAAACATGAGTTTCTGAATCATTTTATACATTAGTTTGATGTGGCCATGCAGCCTCCTTAGCACCTCTCTAGCATGCTTCTCCATCCACAAGCAAAGGTGCTGGCGAATAGCATACAGGTGTTCTCACCACCATTGCAGTAGCTTTTGTCTTGAAATCTGTCTTCAGCAATCATCTCATGTTTGCTCTTGTGTTGGCATGCAGCTTCACAATTAAAATAGCAGGATACCATTGTTCATACCACCATACCACCTAAACCACCACACTGTGGTAAGAATGACTGTCAGTTTATGCTGGTGCCTCAGTTTTTTCTAGCATTTATTATATGAAGATCTACAAAGAAAATTACTATATAAAATTAAATTAGTAGTACTAGTAGT